TGTTGCCAGGAAACACTTGAAAAGACTTTTGACTTTCTGGTTTGGTGTTGCCTGTTGCTGGAAGGGTTTAAACTCAGTGCAACCAATCAACTCCAGAATATCTTAATAGGCTGTTTGGGTCCATCTTTGATTGCATAACGCTCTTCTTTCGCATAACAAATCAAATGCGAGACAAATTGGCAAGATAGTTGAAATAATCGGATATTCTGCAATGCCACAACTTCCGTAAACTTCAAAGCAGCCATGATAACACATATTTCTATCTGTCTCTTTCATGACTCACAACTTTGCTGTCAAAGAGCAAAGCAAAAGTTCAAAAGCGTTGGCAGGGTCAGTGCCTTCTGTACAAGTCCTTTTGATTCCTAATATAGTCACGGAAAGGCTTCCTGGCCCGGATATAAAGAGCAAAAGGGAGTGAAAAAGGGGGGATCAAATAGGATAGAGGTTTGTTTTGTTCTCTCCTCTCTATCTGTCGAAGGTTCCTGGCTGATGTAGCCTGCTGTTTAATCTCAGCTGGCTCAACGGCTTGGCCTGGGGTAGTGTGGTCAGGAAAAGGCACCCAGTACAGACAGGCATCAAAAACATGATTGAACTCACTGTACAACTGCACATGAATTATTACCAGTGTATAGATTTGCTGCAATGCCCTTTACCTGCACTCTTCGGGGGTACAAAGTCAGACAAAGAATGTCTTAAACTCTGATGGCTACAAAGTAGAGTGAAGTTGAAAGTCACTGATCTTAAGGGTAAAGGTTACAACTCCTTTTGTGACTAATGATGACTAATGGCAGTCCTCAGTTCCGAGCATGAAGGGAAGTCAATGAACTTCATGGGAATACATCACAATGGTTGGGAAATATGTTGACATTAGTGGTGGTCACAGTGTGTAGCTGGTTCCGCCAGTTTGTATCCTCAACAGAAAATGATTTCACAACCAGTCATTGATTACAGCGTAATACAATGAACAGTGCTGCTTGGTGGAGCTAATGTAGAAATATATTTGTCATTCTTCAAGGCCAAGAAGGGTTTCCTGTTTTAGATCCTTCTTTCTTAAATCAGGGTTGCGTTTGCGAATCAATTATTTTTTGTGTGTCCTTATTTGTTAGTATTAGCATGTTTCAAACAGTTGTGATTTACTTGATCGGGTTGCACTATTGAAAAATCTGCAAAAGCTGATTTTCTTGGTCATTTGGGGGGCAGCAGAAACAGGCTGTGAACACAAAACTGACAATATTATCACCATTTACATTGATATGGTAAACTTGTTAGCAAACAGTTGCTCATTTACGTGTCTAGCAGTTACCGAGCAACATAAGCATTCCTTTGGAGTTGTGTTTCTGTCCATCTGATGGAAACTGGTCCAAGTTGACCTTTTTCTCTCTTTTACCTCTGTTTTTGGTCTCTACCAGCTCCTGAGGAAAATATTTGGCTCTTTAGCTGCAAAATGTTTCACTATTTTCACCAGCTAGTCTCTAACTGTGTATGTCATTGGGTTTATAGAGCTTTTTCTCTGCATACACACAGATGGAGATATATGTGTCAGAGATAGTGTTCATTAAGCTTTGAATGAGTGGGAAATATCTAAATATGCTAACCTAGCCAATGTTATTTGATCATTTGAGGTATATAGTGTTTTTGTGAAATGTCATTTAAAATCTTTACAGCTGACGTCACTTTTATAACAGAATTTTTTAAAAGTGTTGACCATATCCCATACTACCTAACGTTGTTTACTCTTCAGTCTAAACAGGTCACATACAGTACGAGCAAGCTAACGTTCATTTTGTCTGTTAGTTCAGTTAGCTACGCGACAGTTAGCCTACACTATGCAGTCATAGTGTAAATGTTTTGTAACAACTGGCCAATAATATCTGGTTATTTTCATAAGAGGTCAAAGTTAAAATGTGGAGCTCAAATATAAACAAACCTATGGGTTCACTGGTCCAGTACAACACTAAAGACGGTACCCATTCAGATGTAATTTGTAACATCCCCTGAGATTCCTGAATACTAGCGGAAAAATAGCCCAGAATAGGTCTCATGGGTTGATTTGTAATCTTTATAATTGTTAAGTATATCTGATAAATAATCAAGCACTCCTTGTGTTTACGATGATTAAAAATAACCCCATGAACTATGACTGGAATGTAGCCTGACCAGCATGGACAGTAATATGTTCTCAGGCTGGCCACTTTCTGTATTTGGGTTTCTCAGATGTTTTCTATGCAATGTTTACAGAGGCTTCCAAAGGGTGCTTTTTTTTTTCCTCTTCCTAAATCTCAGCTGAGATAATTTATGAGCGCAGAGGCGGCCATTGTTAATGTTTAATATTTGCACTGACTGAAACAGTGCTGCTGTGTTTGGTAACATTGGTTCCCAGGAGCGGAGACGTTTCACAAGGCTCTTTACAAGTGATTCACAGATCCACAGCCTGGCAGAAGGCCAACTGTAAGCTCCATCAAGACTGTATCTCCCCAAAACGGATGTTACCCTGACATATAAATTAGACATATATAACTTCCACTTATGAAATAATCTAATCAGAATCAAGCATTTTCTTGGTGGTGAAGTTGAACGCCATCATTGCGCTGGCGGTGCAGAAAATCTCATGTGAAGCGCAACATTAGGGTTGTGGTTAACCTTGACACTCATTAAGTATTTTTTCCTAGACGAAACAAGATATTCATGCTATGGGACGGGCCTTATTAAGTTTTCCACCGCTTCATAAATCTCCCAACATGGAGCTCCTCATGTCTGGAAATGTAATAAGGCTGACATAGTGGATCTAATGTGCTACATCCATCACAAGTATTAGCATGACTGCATAGCGGGGCCATCACAAACATTCATTCATTCAATGCACAACTCTTACATTCTCTTTAACACAACAGTTGTTTGTAGAGTCTATTTAAAGTTGTAGGAAACTAACAGCACTGTGAAACAAATATCTGTAGCTTCCTCTCTGAGGGGGGGGCCACTGTGTCACTGGCTCTTTTGATTCCCCCCCCCGTAAAACCTACGCCAGTTACCCATATCCTGTATCCTCATTTGATAGCATGGTGACAGTTTCCCAGATACCAGACAGTATAGGTTTCCCTTCATCTTGTGGCACAGGCCCAAACCCAGTGTCTAATTTGCTAATGGATCCCTGCTGGAAGCCGCTGTCGCGACTGTACGCTGGTGTAATTATCGGCGCTCAAGCGAAGTAACTGAGGACTAACTAAGAGAATGAATAAATCATTGTTTTGCACTCTGCTCCCCAAACTGCGGAGACTGCAGCTGATGTTCCCTTTGTTTGCTCTCCACAAAGCCTGGATGTCATTCACCTTTGGAACAGGGGCGACTGTAATTGCTGACAGACGAATTTGACAAACTTCGAGTGACTTCACTTGAAACTGATAGTAGGTGTTCTCTCTCACTCTCCGAGGGGAACAATAATATGGTAATATGTACTTAAGCTTCTGCTTGGAACGAGAAAAAACTGTCAGTTTAAGCTTGCAGCTGGAGCAAAAAAAAAAAAAAAAGCGTTTTGTCAAATGTGACTGGATGATTTGGTGAAAGACAGCACTTGTCCTCACCACAAAGGCTGTGTCAACTGGTTCTCCCTTTCATGCAAGAAATGTACACTTATAAGGCGAGGGAAAGGCAACTTCTGTTTATGTGTACTGTACCATGTAGCTCTGAGGAATTTTGACTCAGACACAGTACAGCATAAACTCGCAGAACCTGTTCTGTATGTCCAATTATTTCAAGGCCACTAACTCTAGTCTCAACATTCTCCCTGTGGGATATGAAGTCAGTCATGACATGGTTACTTTTGTTGAGACATGACATTTGGGGAAGTTTAGAGAACTTTTTTTGTGTTTTTAATTGAATTGCTGACAAGGAGGTCGTTCTGCCGTTCACGAGGCTTCTTTGGTTTAGTGGCCTCAGCCTGGTTCAGCTTGACGGGGAGCTTAAGCTTGCCAAAGCCTCTGGGAGGTAGAGATAAGGAAAAGGCATCATAAAACCAAATAAAGCTGCTTTACACTTGGAGTGAGACAAAGTTACAAGTACGCTTAATGTGTCTGGATAAAGTGATTATATCTGTCTGGAACAGATGTTAACACTAAATGCATCCTTTGTGTGCGATCGTGTTGTTTTGCGCATTTCATATAGCGCGTTCAGACAACATCCACAAAATCCTTCACCCGTGATTTCATGAAGGCTCGGATGAGATCCTAACATGAGACAGCTCGGCGGACAAAGCGCATAACTGAAGACTAATCCGACGAAGGCAGCGTTTCCAAAGTCGAGTCCTGATGTCAGATCCCAGTTGGAGAGCTTACTGAAGTGCTGCGCCCCACGGCCACTCATTCATTTGCAAGCCAAAAGGGAGAAAGGTTCTCGTCTTTCCCATAATGACTTTCCCTGTATGCCCTGTCTGGAACTTCAATTATCACATGAAAGATAAGAAGCTAGCGAGATGCATGAAAATACCAAAGCAGACCATCAAATATTCTGCATGGCTGGCATTTCCATTCCAGTCCTGTCTCATTTTTGATCGGTGTTATTTCCAGCCCCGGCACTGCACTTATGATGGATACTCATGAGCTTTTGGTAACATGATTCCTCATCTATGATAACACTTGTCCCAAAATAAAAAATAATGGCCCCAAATGGCATTCCTCTACTAATGGCTTGAGAACTTTAAAAAGGGGCACAAATAGGCAGCAATTTGCCAAATTTAGAAACATCCTCCTAAGTTTCGTGTTATCAAAAGGGAAGTGACATGAAGTGACAAAGTGAATTAACGAGGGTAATTTTCCATGCCACATTACACAGGGCACCACAAAGGCTCACTTCATTATCAGGGGATTATTTGGAACTTACATTTTCCAAAAAAAGGAAACCGTAATGTTCACTTTCCATCTCATTAAGATTCCATAACGGGGTCGGCGAACTGCTTTTGGTTTCTAATTGAAAAACACACGACATCTGCATCAAAAACGTACACAGTGTGAGCGAGAGAAAAATCACATTATATTATTATTATCATCATTTCCACAACAAAATTAACAGCAACCAGTTAAAAACTGCAGGCGGCATAAAATACAAGTGTAAAAATCAACATGAGGATTTTAAAGCTAAATCAAGGAACAAATGTACAGCAATGTATAGCTCTGGTTAAACCTTTTTTTTTTGGCAACAGAATTAAAATGTGCCCAACAAAGCAAACACGTGTCTCACATATGTCCACCATTAACAAATCTCCCATCTGCTCTTAACAGAGTTTGCCTTCAGGCCTAAATGATCTATAAGACAATCAAACTGCTTTGGTTTTCAGTCAAGCATATGTGCTTTCAATGTGCTGCTAATCTCTTGTGTGTACATGTAAGTTCTCCCCCCTCGCAGACTGGGGGGGGGTTTAGTTAAGGAACTTCCATCAGTCAAAACATGTAAGTAAAATAATTAAAAGCTTAACATTTACAGTAGGTGGTGCTCGGATTTTGGCATAGAGGCAAATTGCACTTGCTATAACACTTCAACTCGCCACTTTAAGCAGTTTAGACCCTTGAATCGCTCACCGTGAAATGTCCAATTTTCCAAATGGCTGCTGAATCCTAATCTACTCTTTTCCTTAGATCAGATGATTATGGTTGACCTGACACCAAGTCCAAGTCGAAGTTTCCACAAATAAAGAAGGAAATCTGCCGCTTGGCTGATGTTGCTACTTTTATTCACACCCCTTCTTCGGTAAGCTGCTGAGGTATTAGATAACTCCACAATAAATACAATCTTTAGTGAGAATAAAGCACCCTTTTAATGTAATTGACCTGCATGATAAAATATTAAGACATAAAGGGTTGTTAGGATGTTTTTACTTGCACTTGGTGTGACATTAAGTGGCAGTGGTTTTAATGAGGTGAGTTCAAAAAGGAAGCTGGTTTCAAGGTAAAATGTCATTTGGTATAAGTCTTGCCAGCGTGTTGGCTAGGATGAGAAAAATGTGAAGCATATTGGGGGAAAATTATCTGACATCTGAGTTAATTTGTCAAAGTGAAGAAACACACTTCTAAATCCTTCTTCACAAAATATCTCAGTAGTCTCTATCACCACCACGTTTAGCTTATCATTATCCAAAGCAGTAGTATTCATCTGATTCCACCCTGAGTTTCAGTGGCGGTTTGCTGAAAGCATCGCCGTCAATAACCGTTTTCTCCACGAAACAGTCCAGCTCCGTAGGCGAGGGGTTGTCCGAGAGGTCCTCTGCTAGAGTGTCCAAGTAGCTACCCACGGACAGGCTGTCTAGTCCGTCGCTGTTACCATCATTCAAGCTGTTGAAGCTGCCTCGCAGCGAGGTACCGTCCTGGCTGTCTGACAGGCTGTACAAGCTCCCCGTCAGGCTGCCTTCCTGGCTGGCCACGCCTCCCTTGTCTTCTATCATCCAACGGATGGACTCAATGCCCTCGTTGATTGACATAAGCTGCTGCATCAGCTTCACATCAATGGCTCGCAGATGTGCCTATAAGTAGGAGGGGAAAAAAACACCCCGGTCAGGTCACGGTACATAAGGATGATCCAGCATTTAAAGGAATAGTTTGACATTTTGGGAATTTCTTGCAGAGAGTTAGATTGACACCGCTCTTATATCTGTCTTTTAAATATAAGGCTACAGCAAACTTCTAGTTAGCTTAGCTTAGCTTAAAGAGGTTAAACAGTAAGCCTAACAAAATGCACTACTGAGCACCTCTAAAAATGGCTAATTAACACGTGTAAAGACAACATGTTGTTGTTTTACAGAGGTCAATGTGCCAGACTGTATCTTGGCCATATCACAGGATTTTCATCAGCAGATTGAACCTCAGCTTTTAAGCAAACATGGCTGCGAGAGCTGAGAGATATTTTTGAGAGTGCCCCAAAAATACTGAAATTTGAAAAGCTACAATTATATAACAGCTGTGCAATCTCCATCTGCTGATGAAGATCATGTGACATGAAGGAAAGCTCCACATCGGCTACTAAATAAACCTTGCGGTGAACAGTTGTTAGCATTCTTATGTCCTCTCATGGACAGAACACTATGTGCCATTTTGTTTAGACTACCAGGCTTTGTTGAGGACAACGAGACTTAACTATGTGGCACCAGAAAATGGGGAACTGTACTGCTCATGCCACAGCAGAGCCAGGAAACAGTTTGCATCCTGGATTCTGAATGATATGCTTACTTTACACAGTACTGTCATTGATCTAACTCCCTGCCATGACAAACCATGCCATTGACTGGGGATGGAAGTGGACGGCCTATGGAGTCATTCAGAGGGAGACCCCTGTGTCAGCTGGGTGGCAAACACCCGGTTAGAGTGAGAAATGGCAATCAAGCAGCTGTGGCAGCCTGCTACATTCAAAGTGCAGTGAGGCAGATGAAGGCAGACAGGGCTGGTACAGTGTTCCAGACAGCTGGCTCGATACAACAGCCTTTCTTTGCCTTCATTTAGCTCATATTGCTGCCGGTGTGTTTGTTTTGTGAGCATATCCGCCCGCTTTATGCACACATGGAAGCTGAGCAGATGGGAGTCATATTGGAATTTTTGTTCAAGCAGCTATTTTGCGTTAATAAGATGGCACCGGTGGGTCAATATCACAAAATGAGTTTAGGAAATGCAATTAGTGCTGCATCACTGTGTCTGTACTGGATAGTAACATTGAACCCACCACAGGATGTTTCATTTGACATTAGAAACTAATAATAACTGCTACCTGACCTTTTTGGGGACAGCACATTTCAGAGTTCATTTGCTCATACATACGCTGTATCGTTTTGGCCTCTATAATAATACTGTAAAACTTAGCTGAACAAAATTATGTTTGTCTGTGCCAGACTTGTGCACGCCAAAACAGAGCAGTCTGATTGGATTAGTGATTAAGCTCTGAGGGGAGTCACAAAAACAGAGAAGCCAAAGCTGGCCCAAATTTAAAATGAGCCTCTAACAATAAGAGGACACTAATGACACGATTGCACTAAATTATTTTCTTTAAAAGTCAATTTTAAGCCTTTCCCCCCCTCATATTAAACCAAGGTAAGGCATTGTTAAATTTGCAGATACAATATGTGCAAGTTAGAGGCCTGGTTCACATCCACGTGAATCTAAGCCTATCATCACAGACTCTGGGTGGCTGGTCCGTCTGCTGGCCATGATGCAGCCTTACTACAGTCTGCAAAACTCGGCCAACTAGGCCATCTGCTCAGGAATCCTAATGCCTTCAGTGACCCTACTTTAACTACAGGTTTGCTGTGACTCCGGCCTAAACACTCACAACATTTGATAACAACGCAATGGTAAGTGTAAGCAGAGGAAATGATGTGATCATGAAACGGTAGTTACACAGGCACAATTGGATATCACCCAGTAGTTTGAATAACAAGAGGAGGTGTGTGTGTGTGTGTGTGTGTGTGTGTGTGTGTGTGGGGGGTGTTAGGAGGGTTCACCAAGGTCTTGTGCTGACTCTAGGCGTGAATGGCTATCACCTACTGACCAGTTTCAAGGTGCTTTTAAAGGTAATGAGGCACAACACCCTGGAACATTCAACAACCACATGTTGATATGCAGGCCTGTTTTGCATCCAGCATTAAAGGCATTACCCGTGAGCCCAGCCTCTGTAGCCAATACATGTAATACATTAAACAGGGCATATATATAAAAACTTATCTGTCGTGAAACTATGCAAAATAGGTATTAACTGTCTTATACAGTCATATGCATTGTCTCCTTTCATTCATTTGAACGCGTGTCGATAAAGTCATAGCATGGGCAGCTGTATAGTGAAACATTAGTGACCTAGCTTGTACCTCCAAGTCGGTAAACTTCACACAGAGGACTAAAAAAGATAAATAGTACATACATTTTTTTAGCTGTGTCACATATGCTTTGTAGAATATATGCCTATTTAACAATGGGTTGAATTAAAGTGGACACAGAAGGAGGCACTTACCATTTCTTGTTTGAGGAATAGCATTTTGCTCTCCAGTCTTTTCAAGTCGGCAGAATTACTACAACATTTGCCGTTCATTAAATGCGGCGCAGGCGACTTCTCGTGCTCGTCGTGATGTTTTCCTCCGACAAGAGAACGGATGAGACTGTCCGGGACTTTTCGACCCAACTTTGTCTCTATATCCTTCAAGTCGGGCAAGACGTTGCTGTCCTCGTCCATTGCGGGCTGTCACAAAGATTACACGTTCTCACTGTATATTTTGGAGCAGCAGAGGAGAGGAGAGCAAATTACAGAGCCGCGAGCTCGCAGAGATCCCCGATGATTTGCTGTGGGAGACGCGCGCGACCAAGGAGTTCACTCGCGGTGGAGAGAAGTTGCAACAGGCGCGCGCTCTTAGCAACTTTACTCAACCGGCTCACAGGATGAAATGTCGAACCATAACACTTCACACTGGACCCGCCGTACCGCTGTGACACCAACAGACCTCCCATTCAAGCGTCTGACCAGTAGAGAGGCACTTTAACGACGGCGTGCTCTCCGTAGACCCCTCCCACAGGGGGAGCTTCCTCTGAAACCAAACACCGGACAGGTGAGGCAACACCGGCCGGTGTTTTGAAAGAAGTTGTGCGCAAGGGAGTAGACTTTTCCGGGGTTACAAATAAGGAGCAGTGGGAGCTCAACCGTGAGGCAAATGACTGCACCTAATAACCTGGGGTGAGCACTACAGGCTATTTATTCATGCGTGTCTCTCCAGAGACATGTAGCAAAGAAAAAAAGAAAAGGTACTGACATTTAAACATGTGATGTGGTGATAGATTATATAAGATATGTTGTGTCCTGTACATAAATATATTTTGGTGTGTTTATTTATCTTTAATCACATGAATGTCAGTGCACAGCCTACACCCAGTGTCAGTAAGGTTGAACAAACCACAGTGCAGGCGTGTACAATTTAATCATTTAAATAATTCGGCATGTACCCAGATCCAGCAACATTTTGGCAAACGTAAAAATGTAAAAACAGAATAGCATTCATGACCATTTAACATAAAATATATATAAAAAAAGGAAAAGACAGAAAAAAGCTGCATATCAGTGAGTATACATTTACATTTCATCTGAATCACCAGCCCAGTTTTTTTCTTCTTATCTCTTCATTCATTAATAACACTTTAGCTCTTTTGGATCAATTTATCTTAATACATCATTTAAAAAAAAAAAAAATCATATGTCTACCTATCTCTGGATAAATAAATGCAGAGTTTCAGAAATTTAATTATTGCACCCCCTTGTGGGCGTTATGGCTCTGTTACATTGGCAGTGTATTTTAAAGCAATTATAAACACTTCACTGCTATGAAGCCATTGTGCAACTAAACTAAACAGTGAAGTCAGATAAACAGAGAACGTGTTGTAGTCTATAAGCATGGTAGAAGTGATAGATCTGAGTATGTTTTCATTAATTTTCCTGTATTACTCGATCACTTAAAATGTGTTCAAAAAGTTACAGAACATTCAGAATCTCTTTTTAATATCTACATTCTTTACACCTGATCACCTGATAATTGAAGGAAACACTGAACTACAGAAGGCATCAGTGCTGATACTGTCATGTCATTTTAAAAGGTAGCCAACCTGACTAGAATCAGCACCACCTGGTGGCGTTGCTGTCACACCATCATTTCAGTTGTTCATGTCCACTTCATTTGAACACATTTTCCATTTTCAAATTGTCCCAAAATCTGAAAATTTTAAAGTCTTTACAATGTTTACAAAAATCTTAAAAAACTGCTGTTTTTTTTCCATTTAAAAAAAATGCATCTTCATTGAGTGCTTTATGTTCATTGGGGATGTAAATGTAATTGTTCCAATCTGGACTCTTTGTAAAGAAAAAAATAACAACACCACTTGATAAATGGACATGAATGCAGCCAAAAGATTACTTTTTAACACGTTGTCCTAATCAAGGATCTACACATGCTCCCCAGTACCAGTGAGAACAGATTCAGGCTTTAACAAACTGCATATTTGTGTCACTTTGTGTTAAACAAAGAGAAGCCACTCGTTAGGTGTGGCTCAGCACCGAATCTTAGACTACAGACTGGCTTTTTTCATCATCGTAGCGCTGGTACTGATTCCCGAGCAGAGGCTGGTGGCCCTCCATCTTGTAAGACCTGGCACGCACGGCGCACGTGGTGGCAGCGAAAATGACTGCGACAACCACGAGGGCAGCGACTATTGCCATGGTGATGATTTCAGTCAGGGTGAAAGGTTGACCTGGAAAGGAAGAAGTGGATGATTATTACCTTTGTAATCTGTGTTTATTCAAAGGTGAGAATGTAAACAGAGGGGCAAAAATTTGAGAGATAATCCCAAAATGAATACCTGGCCATACGGCTTCATAAGAGTAACCAAGATTTTCAGGGGCGGTCAAAAACATCTCGGCGTTCGTCACCGGAGGCCAGAAAGGCACCATGTTGTAGCCCTTGTTGTGACCAATGGGGGCATTTTCTTCAGGATACACAGCGGTGCCTGCATGAAAAATACTTGAAGTTAGCCTAAAACTCTACATCCTAACAATAAAGCAGTCATACACACAGGTATAGTACAGGAAACAACAAGAGCGAGTGGTTTTTAAATCAGATTTTGCTGCTAAAAACACCTGGACTGTGTCTCCTCAGCCATTCGTCAAATATAGCGTCGGTGTAGGTGTGGAGCAGGACGAAGATGGGGTCATTGGGTGAGAGGTGAGTTTGCCCTCCTGTGCCATTCAGGAACAGATGGGCCAGGTTGTGAAGGCTCCTCACCACGGGGTCGTAGTTCCCCTGGGGGGCGCTGTAGCCTGCCGAAACCACAGGGAAAAAAACGTTATAAGCACATGTAGAAACGCCGTACGTCAGACAGACAAAGGAATGAATATCTTTGTAGTCACCTTCAATTGTGTTTCTGAAGCTCTCGGAGGAGGTGGAGTAGTAGGGCGGTGTGTCAAAAGCGTTAACCTGCAGACAGTCTGCTACATCCTGGGGCTCCGGGAGACGCTGGACCATAGGCCTGTTGACGTTTCCTGCTGGATTCCTTCTGATGGGGGAAGTCTCAGTGCCTGGAAGGAGATAGGCAGCAGGAACCAGATAAGAGAGACTATAGCAATTTCTCTGTGCTTAAAGAACAAAGAAGATCACTGTAACATCGCTGATGAACAGTAGTCTTACTGTTGCAGATGGTTCCTAGTGTGTCATAGTCTTGTACGCTCTCGCAGATGACCCTCCACTGGGAGAAGATAGAGTTGCTGCTCAGGGAATTCATATCAAAGCTGCTCCTGGCTCCCATCAGGTCGTCGGTGCAGATGTCACATGTGCTCCCACCGATGGCAAAGTTCCAGTAGGGCAGGGCGAAGGACGGGTCTTGCAGCATGTCCTGGTTGTTTAAAATAGAGTTTTAGTTTGAGTTACATAACCAGAGAACCCGAGGTTTTAACCTGCAGTGTGAGGAAACAATACCTTTAGCTTGAGGCTTTGTTTAATTGAGCTCTCAACAATGTATTCCCATCCCCTTAGGTAACGTCAAACTATCCAAAATGTCTTATTTGGTATTGGAGTCGTAATTCACAGAATGCACTGGGTGTTATTTTCACACACTGTGATTTGCTTAAAAGACAATCTGCAGTGTCTGTTCACCATGCATTAATAAATCTGGAATAAATGAAAATGGGTTCTTTTAAAAGCCTTTGTGTTGCTCATCCTTGCTTTCCCACATTTTTTTTTTTTTTTTTTTACTGTCTAGCGCGAAAAACTGGTGATTTGAGATAAATACAACGGACAGGATTTCTAAGTAAAATTATTCATCAAGCTCAAGGGAACATAGACTTTCTGCACACAAGTGAATCATTCCCTTTTTTTTTTTTTTTTACTTGGCCAAACTATTTCAAAGTTCCCAAATCCCATTATGATACTCGATCAGAAAAGTACTAATGGATCCAAACTACCGCTCATGAAACGGGGCCCTCTAACCAGATATGATTCACTTGCACTATAGGCCAAGGAGCTGGGTGCATATTTTTCAGTCGGCTTAGTTGATAGAGTTCATCCTGATCAGAAAAAATGAGCACTCTCCCCCAAACTGTGCCTGTCAGTGTGCATATTCAACAGAGTAGAAGGAGTGAGTGAGTAAGTAAGTAAGGGAGCAGCGATTTAACCATACACTTGCACAGGATGAGGATTTTCTCAGCAGGAGCCCATCACTCTGTCAGAGTTTCAAGAACTTTAATTATGTGCTTGCAATTCTGTATACCAAAAAAACCGTGCGTAATTGTCAGCCACTGGGTGGATATAATAATTATAACAACTCTATGCTGGGAGGGATGTTGAACATTCTCCATAAATCACTTTGGCGAATGGTGCAGTTTAATAACTCCTTTCGCCAAAGCTGTGTTCAATACTGTTTTTCTTTCAAACCATCTCTGCCACTCGATGGTGTGCGGATAAAATCGAATCTCAGCCCGCAAAAGCGCTTAAAATCCCATTTTGCGCGCTGCTCGCCCATTAAAGCGTGAAATTGCGACGTAAGTTATGATTTCCTCGCCGGGGCAGTTGTGTGCGTGAGTGCGTGAGTGTGTGTGTGTGTGTGGGGGGGGGGACACATTAGGTTAAACAAACAAGCTAGAGGGGAAACGACAGCTGGGTTAAAGGAGACTATTAGTCGGTGATGTATTGGTAAATTAAAAATGTGGATAAACAGTCAGGTGGCGATCCCCCCCCCCCCCCCCAGAAAGAAAATCCATTACATTATTTACTTGATCTTAAAACGCCCCATCACTCCCGAGCTATTTCACAGAACTGTAATGGTATCACAGCTACTGTAATTATCACCCCTCTTTACACAGTCTCTTACCTGCATGTCTCTCTCCAGCTGCAGCAGGTGGTACCTGTGCCAAGTGACAAAACCGGGCCCCTCGTGTGAGAAGTCCACTCCCCCGAAACTGGCCTGCCCCGCACCCAGGAACGTCTTGCTGACCGAGAAGTAGTGGGACCACACGAAGTAGTTGTAGATGGTGACGTTCTGGAACTGCACGGTGTTCCCGTCGGGCCCGAAGATCTCCTGATAGCGCCGCGTGGCGATCACCAGGTCGGGGTGCACCATGCGCTTGGCCTGGTCCAGCGCGTTCACGAACGCACGCTTCTCGTCCGCGCTGAGCTGCATCACGTTTCTCCTCACTGTGAGGGGGATTACAGCCGAGGGAGAGTGGATTAACTCAATTAGTCATGCGTTAATTGGGGATCAGTTTTTAATGAGTGAGAAAAGAAGTACAGAAAATGTGCGTAACCGGCAGTTTTGGTCAATTAATTCTGTAATCAAATGCCCTTTCTGTGAGTCTCAGGGTTGTTTAAATCCATTCCAGCTCGTATCACGGGAGACTAATTTGAATTAATGTTGGTAAAATAATCTGAAGAATTAATTATAATAAGATAATCTTCCGATAGAATTTGTTAAAGCGACATTAAAAATGGGCAAAATCCGTTCATTTGGCTCACTGTGGATTCCTAAACTAGTGCTTAAGTGAGCAACAGCACAGCATCCCTAGCTGTGACCTTTCCCATCTCCTTAGCGTTAGAGTCAGCATTCTATAGCATCAGCAGTTCATTATTTCCCCAGACTTACCGACAGGAACTCTCTGGTCACAGTTTGCCCCCGTCCATCCGTGTCTGCAGCGTCCGCAGTTATAACCGCTGAAGTTTCCGTTACACTGACAGGTACGGTTGAAGTAACGGACGGGCCATCGCTCACGATCATCCCGTCCGTCGTGCGGGTACTGAGGGCCGTGCGGGCGAGCGTCCACTGCGATGGACACGCACTGTCCGCGCCCCGTACTGGCGCCACACGGATCGTTGTCGAGTCCAGAGGGTGACGGGCAGCACTGTCCACTGCGGAGTCCCTCGGGTGTCACACACTCTCTGGGGAACTGGGCGCTCACGACCACCGCGCCCAAAAGAACCAAAAAGCAGCGCTGAAACATTGTCCGGAAACCTGTTTGCCAAGATTTTACGCACGGCTGCGGCTGAGTCTGAGTCAGTTTTACTTGCAAATATTCAACTAAGACTTTATCTAAACTGAACTTGGATCACTTCAACACACCAGGATTTACTTTCTGTGTATAGAACTTCCCCTCCCATGCGCACAGGCCCTGCTTCTATTTCCCCCCAAACCAGACCTTAAATACCGGATTAGCGCATGACTACCCGGATTTTCTGACTCCCGCGTGATGCCATCACATAACATCATATGTCCTACAGGGAAAGAAGGTAGTGTGATCCGTCATGCACAGTATTGTTCTTTTAAAAAGCCCTACTGGCCTCCTAAAGCTGTCTATGGAAGTCTAATTCATGAGAAGAATCATTCAGATTAAAACACATGAAATTATGATGAAAGAGTAGGCCTACCCATGAACTTTAATTCCTGTACATGTACTGTGACATTTCAGCAGGTCTTTATGAGCACTGTGTGGAAATGGATTTGTTATGAGGTGATAGCCTTTAATAAAGGCAGCCACTGGCGCACAAGTAAATGTTTGTGGAATTAAAATATCCAACTTGGTGCCGCAAGCAAGCTCAGGAACACAATAGGGGTTTTGTTTACATGTTCTGCTGCTGCCCTTTTAAACTCCCACTGTGGTCCATTGCTGGAAATCTAACAGAATAGCACTAAAAACACTAAAATCTGCCATTTTGAATATTGTCCCTGTGTATTAAAGTAACATCCCCCCCCCCCATGCCAGGATCTAATCTTGAAAAGCCTCAGAGGTTCATGTGTTTGTTAAAGTGATCATATTTCTGGTCATTTGACTTCTCAGGAAGGCATCTAGCACCTCCTCCTCCTCCTTTCCCCAACATCAGGGCTGCTTGTGCTGCCATGAGCATGTGAGACATTGAAGCTTGAAGGGTATTCTTAATATTGAAGTCTTCCAGGAATGCACAGCTCTTATATGATTTCAGAACAAATATCTTGAGACTGCCTTTGAATGCCACCATGGTCTGAACTAGACTGTTCATATTTTTGCTTTTCAATACACAGTCCCTGGATGCTTCTGTCTGTCTGTCTGTCTGTGTTTTTGTCATTTGTTTTAGCCTGCTTACAATGGCAAAAAAAGCTGCTCAAAAATGTTGAATAAATCCACTTCATCATATCTAAAAACTCTGATTATAAGACTATCGTTAGGCTTGGATAATTGTAATATTTGTAAAAGCAGGCACCTTTTGAAAGGCATTAAACACTCAATAGATACAGTATTACACTTTCATTAAGTTAAAAGACTTGCAAAAAAAAAAATGACTGAAGCAGCAGAGGCTGACATCCTGACTTTTAGTCCCTATGGGGGTAAAACTCCAACAAGGATTCTACACTTCCCATGATGCAAATCAATAGGGTCTTAACGATGGATGGCAAAGAGAGGAAAGATTCCCATGTTTACAACTCATGTCATCCGACAATTCAAGACTGTTTGTGGTGGTGTTAGGGTTCATTTTCACTTATAAGAATATATCTATTAAATGTGGGTTTAATTACTTTGAATGACAGACTTTGGCTGTCACGAGGCATCCATATTTGTTTGGTTTTCAGCTGCTTTCCGGGCTCCAAGTGGGAAATGTCATCGCTTTCAGAAAAATGTGAACACTCCTAACAAGTTGGAAACTGGCAATTATAATTATATCCAATATGACATAAATGCATCATTAGACCATTGGTAAATGCCCATATCCTTCTCCACACCATCCTATTTGAAATGCAGGCTTTGGCTTTATGTTATACATTTTTGATCTCTGTGTGTAAATTGGTGGCGAGCCCCCCTATGGAGGCCTGTATCTGGTAATAATAAGATTCTACCAGAAGCTAATTTCAGATGAAAGTGGAGTCAGCAAGTACAAAAATGTGTTTAATTATTCTCAGTTATAGCAATATGAAAAACGTACCACTCTCCTTTTCTTCTAGCTTTCCTTTTTTGTGAACTGTCTGTGCAACACTCATTTGAATTCTCCCTCCGATCGCCCCTCCAGCGTGCGCACTCCTTGTTTATTTGCTTCACTGTTTTCCAGGTGAAGGAGTTGAGCTGCAAAAATAAAAACCTTTGATTAGTTTAAATGAGCTGATGATACCAGTGGCAGAATCTAGATTATTTTGATTTGCAGCTACCATAACCTCAGGACATTTTTGTGATAGGGGAAAAATGATTGGCTTGTTATTGTTGACAAAACCTACAGTGGTAACCCCAAGGAGTTAGAATCTAGGGCAAGATCGACAGGACAGCATATTTTTAAAACACCCCAAAGTCTTACAGTCGTCTCATAATTCACAGAAAGCTTAAAACTGGGTTGCATAGAGGGCACTGGAAAAAAACTAATTCACCCATCAAATACGATACAACAAACCAGACAGGTGAGGGAGCCTCGACCCTATTTGAAGATTCAGCTTCGCTCAGAAACAGCCTGTCTACTTTCTACTTTCATACTTTGAGTACATTTCAGAGCCTGTAATTTTTCACATACACTTGAGTAAACAAGTCGGATCATTGCTTCTACTTTTATCTTTTTGTAAGTATCGGTACTTCTTGAGTACTTTTGCCATTTCTGTTATAAACAACAAAACTGCCACTGAGGCTGTACTATTAGCAGTTAAACCGCCCTATCAGATGGAAGCAAATGTCGAATACAAACAGTACATAAGTACAACTTTGAGTTATTTGTACTTTACTTGAGTATATCCATTTTTTGGACACTTTTTCTCAAAACCCCTCAGATTCATCTTGTGACCCTTTAGAGGTAGCCCGACCCCTAGATTGAGAACCTCTGGTCGGAATTAAGTAACTGTATATAAAGTACAAGTACAAGTTTACATTGTTTTATTGGTACTTTGAGTTAAATAAAGGATATGAATACCCCTTCCATCTCCATAAAAAAATTATGAAGAATTGAATAATTCAAGGATCTAACCCATGTTTGATGCAGTTTGCTCTAAAAGTAAGGCATTTAGTTCTGGAGCAAAACTGTCACATCAACTTTCTTCCTAGGAAGACGTGACAAAACCGATGCTGTCAGTATTAATAATTTAGATGTCATATTAAAACACATCATAACAATACTGCACTATCTCTCAGAGGAGAAACTTTCCAATGTGATCTCACACACTGAAAGGCAAAGATTCTTAACCCAGTCACATGTGTTTCACGTTGGCTATCATAATTCCAGCCTGCATGTATCGTTTCATAATTGGGGCGTGCCGGTGAGGATTACACAAAGCTAGCACTAAGCTTATTCTCATGGAGTACATTTGAAAATACAGCCACATTCCTTATGTATGTGCAGTTCCCATGTTCCCCTAGTAGACCCATTAGCATGTCAAGGTTGCTATGACCATTTAAACATCATTTGTCTGAAGCCTCCATCTAGTTTTCTATTTTTTTTTTTTTTTATGTCAAGATGAATACTGTAATAGTTATGATTAATTATTTTGACCTTAGAGTATTATGCTGCCCCTAAATGAATTTTCTATGATTTATCATTATCATTGACTTGTGGTTATTTAATAATTCAAAGTGCTATTGACCTGAAAATGCACTGCAGTGTTTTTAAGGTCACGTTTGAGTGGAGCAAGAGCCAGCTCTTTAGTGATTGTCTTTTGATTAAGTCTGTAAGAAGCTTTTATCTTTACCATTGCTCTGCCAAACTTCTGCACAGTTCACTTTGAGCTCTAAATGGGTGTATATGAATATGATGCAGAGCTAATGCAAACCTATTATGATTGCAAATAGTGAGGCAGCAAAAGATGTTACTGTATCCAAACTAATTTCCATTGTTGCCATATGAGAATTAGCAATTAATTAGTGTGTAAAAGGTAATTTTATCAATTATCTCAAATTGACAGGTTAGATTAGAGTAAACACAAAAGGTATTAAAAGGTCAGGGGTCATGTCACAGATAATCTAATGTTTGAAATTGGCATTAACACACCAAGATGCAAACACAACAAACCCTCACAACTAAGTAAAAATATAAGGCACTTTTGGCTTATTGTTTAGAAATCGACTGTATTATTCTACCACGGGGGGCTACATGAGCACACATCCCCTCTGTTTGTCCCGTGACCACTGCTCAGCCGACCTCCCTTTCATTCCCACTCTCCTCCCCTACCATGTTTGTGTGTGCTCACGTCTGTGCGTGTGTGTGAATAAACTTTGGGCAGCATAGAGGATCATGTGAGAAGATGTGATTTGGGCTTAATGGTAATCCCTGCCTAAGGTAAAAATGGCACAGTGGGAGTCATTAGGAGGGAGCTATTTGAGCGGTTCGTAAAACTGCCTGCCTCTGTCTCACCCCTCCCCTTCCCTCTCCTAAGACATTGCCAGCGACTGCTTGTCATTGTCTTTCAGTTTCTCATCACAGGCTGGATTCATGCCACTCATTTTATCTCAACTCCTGCTTTTCCTCATGTTCACTTGCTTCTTGGTAAATGAGGGGAAAATAAAAACATTTTTCACCATCTGAAATAATGAGTCCCATGTGGACACATTGTTACAGCTTGAGGCATCGACGGTATAACAGCAATAAGAGTCCACAGCCGTGCTAGCAGCTCTGTGAGGCTGTAGGCACAGCACTGCTTCAAGCGTAATGGTAACATCAGCATATTACCATGCTCTCAACACAATGACAATGCTAACATGCAAAACACCATGCATAATGTTTAACAGGTTAACTATTGTAGTTCAGTGGGTTAGCATGCTAACATTTGCTCATTAGCACTCCTGAGGCTGATGGCAAAACCATTAGCTTTGCAAGTATCTAATCATAATCCAAAGCATTGGACAAATTTACATTTTGATGTGATGATGCCGCTAGATGAAAAGTCAGGGGATCACCAAATTCAGTAGGATTTATCCTCTGGGGGCCATGAATGTCGGTGAATGTCATCATGGCAATCCATTCAATAGCTGTGGATTTATTTCAGTCTGAGACTGTCCTTCCATGAAAAATGGCAGCATCAGTTGTTTCAGCAAATGACCCAAAATGAGATTTGTCTATGATGAAGTGACAAAGCCCTGTAGAGGTTGTAGTAATTGTGATTCTAGTCAGTCTATAGTGTGACATTATTGTAGAGCAACAATGTTCACAGAAGGAGGAGGTCAGGGTGGGTGGGTCAATAAAACAGTGTTCTGACCATAACTAAGACCCAAACAATGCTCTTCT